ACAAACAAAAGGACGCGGATTATGGTGCCACGGCCAATGTACATCCTAGAGCCGCACTCGCAGACCCACGCGACAAATAATGTCTCTTTATTTTAGGATAAGTGCATTCCCTACACTGTAATTTGGGGTGTCTCAAATGTATACGCCAAAAGGCGTTTGCTACAGGATCCCGAGCAACATTTGGCGTATACTTTTGAGACATCTTTTGGCGTATAGATTCTAGACACCTTTGCCGATGCCATTCCCACAGTACAGCAGAGGCCCTTTGATACATACATCCTGAAAGGCGCTCACGTCCTGTACATCCTCACTCCTGCATGCTGCTCGAAGCTAGGGCTGTGCCATGGGAGTAGTGCGGGCAAAGATGTCTAGAATCTATACGCCAAAAGGCGTCTCAAAAGTATACGCCAAATGTCGCTCGGGATCCTGTAGCAAACGCCTTTTGGCGTATACATTTGAGACACCCCCAAATTACAGTGTACCCGCGTCGCCAACCACAACCGCGGTTCAGTGCGGCATAGACACACGCCCGCGCGCGCACCGTCTCGCTGGGGAGACACTGATCCGATGATACCAGTCGAGTCGCCATCATTGCCGTCGTTGTCCCTTTTTTAACGTCGTCCTTCTTTTGTCGCGCGTATACATAAGCGGTGGTCTGCACGCGGTTCGGGAAGGAAGCAAGAAGTGGGAAAAGTATTAAGGATAGCATATCGCCCCTTGCGGTGGGAAACGTGCACGGGTGCGGATGGGTATGTCTTCGTTTTGGAGTTGTCTCCACAAACCAAGTTGTGTTAAAAACAAACAAGAGATATATGTTAATGTTGTGACTGGTTAGCTCCTTGTGAGCTGTGAACTGTCCATAAAGGGAACTTTGTGCAGTAGTATGTACTGTTTAAAAATAATCAATGAATTCCATTGAATGCTCATCTGTATTTCCGATCGTGTTTTTTTAACGACCGACCTTTTCGTGTATTCTTTCATTCTTTATTTATGTCATTGTTGAATGTTATGGGTTTATGAGCGAGCGTATGTGTATATTTTGCGGTGTATGTTTGCGTTATGATGTGTGAGAGATTTTGGTTGAATGTGTGATGTACTCCTTATTACGAAATTGTTGTTGTGTTGTAGCGTACTTACTAATAAAAAAAGACATTCCTATTTTATTATTTTGACTAAAAAAACCTCTTTTTCTATCAGTGAACAAACTTAAGGAAGAACTCTCCGAAAGACATCTAAACTTCGTCGAACTTGCCCTTAGTGCGGCTGCGCCATCAAAGTCTTTTCCAAAACGCCCGGCGCACGCATGTCGCTTCGTCGAACACATATTTCTTCGCATGCAATTAAAGTATAAACTTCGGAAAATAGTGCTAGCATTTGGACGCGAAGGCGTGGCGAGGGCGAGGGGGAAAAAGAGAGGGAGGAGACGGGAGAGCGGGGGCAGCTGGCAGCAGCGTGTCTGACGCACCATCTGCTGGACCAACTCATCAGTATTCCCCCCTCCCCCGCCCCCACACCCGGGTGCGGGCTGCGCCCACAAGCCACCCTCTGCTAAGGTCCATCCTACGGCTGTCCAAATTTGACAGTTCGCTTTTCCCTCGCAAGTTGATGTCGTGTCGCGTCGCCTGTGCACTGCGGTCAAACAAATGTATGTTTTTTTTCCCAAACTTTACTTGTACAAGTTTTATGCTTGACGTGATGTTTAACTCATATGCCGTACTTATCCGAGATTTTGTTTGCGTAATCTGGATAACGTTTAGGAGTATGCCGCGGATGTAACAGACGCCGACCCTCTCCATATAAGTCCTGTAACTCCAAGTGCCGCAGGTGAACCGGTGGTCACGCGGGCGGCGTGGTCGGTGTGCAGTTCCCCTCCCTTGAGTGTCTCGAGGAGCACCTTACGAAGGCAGGGAAGGCCACTCCCCGTGACATTTGTGTGTGACAGGCTTGCCTACCACCGCACGCGCTGCCACTACGCGGGGACGGAACCCGAGGCCCCTTACTAAGGCAGGGTAGGCCACTCCTCGAGACAGGTGTGTGTGACGGGCTTGCCTACCAGCGCAGGCGCTCAC